GAGTCCTGGTGTGACATTATTGGCTAATGCGTCAGACTGCAAAGTCATTTGAACTGCAAGGTCGGTGGTTCAAGCTCACCAGCTGCTCCTTGGAAACCCTATACAGGGTCACTATGGCTTGGAATAGACTCAACGGGACTTAACAACAACAATGGTTAATGATTGTGAACATTTCTTCATGTGATTGTTGACTACCTGAATGTCTTCCTTGGTGAAGTATTTGTTCATAACCTGTGCCCATTTTTTAACTGAGTTCTTTGTCTTTTTCTTGTAAAGCTGTTGTAGTTTCTTTTAAGTCCCTTATCTCATATGTCATTACAAAAAAATTTTCCCAGTCTGTGGGCTCCCTTTTTATTCTTTTGGTGAAATCTTTTGATATACATGTTTCTAAGCTTTAATATGTCCCAATCATCTATTTTGTTTTCTATTATTTGTGTGTCTTTTCTTTTATAATGTTTGATAGTTTATGTATGCCATATATTAGAGTCCCTAAGTCTGTTCCTATTTTTTCATTGACGATCTTTATAGTTCTGGAATTTACATTTAGGACCTTAATCCATGTTGAGTTAGTTTTTGTATATGGTGTGAGATATGGCTCTTGTTTCATTCTTTTGCAAATTGATTTCCAGTTTTGCCAGCACCATTTGTTGAAGAGACGATCTCTTCCCCATTTAATGTATTTTGGCACTTTATCAAATATCAGTTGACTGTATATGGATTGATTTACTTCTGGGTTCTCAATTCTGTTCTATTGATCTACGTACCTTTCATTGTACCAGTATCAGGCTGTTTTAATCACTGTGGCTGTGTAGTAAATTTAGAAATCAGGGAGTGAGAGGCCTCCAAATGTGTTCTTCTTAAGCAGTGCTTTGCAAATCTGAAGTCTCTTTCCTTTCCAAAAACGTTCATGATAGTTTATTCCACCTCTTTAAAGAATATTGTTGGAATCTGGATTGGGATTGCATTATATCTGTAAATTGCTTTTGATAGTGTTGACATTTTCATAATGTTAAGTCTCCCTATCCATGAGCATGGTATATTCTTCCATTTTTGTAAATCTTTTTTGGCTTTTTGTAGTTGTGTTTTGTAGTTTTCTCTCTATACATCTTTTGTTTCTCTAATTAGATTTATTCCTAAATATTTCATCCTTTGGGTGGCTGTTGTAAATGGTATTGTTTTCCTGATTTCCTTTTAGAGCTGTCTGTATTAGCATAGTGGAATCCAACTGATTTGTGTATATTGATCATGTACCCTGCCACTGTACTGAATCATCCAAAGAGTTCCAATACTTTATTTTGCAGAGTCTTTGGGATTTTCTGTGTTTAGAATCATGTTATCTGCAATAGAGAGAGTTTTACTTCTGCTGGCCAATTTGGATGCCTTTAATTTCCCTTTCTTGCTTTATAGCTCTGGCTAGACTTGCAACACAATATTGAATAGGAGTGATGATAAAGGGCATCTTTGTCTGGTTACTGTTTGCAAAGAAAATGCTTTCAGTTTCTCTCCATTAAGAATGTTGTTGGCTGTTGATTTTGTATATATGCTCTTAACCATGTAGAGAAGTTTCCCTTCCTACAGTTTTGAATGTTTTTATCAAGAATGAGTGTTGGATTTTGTCAAATTCCTTTTCTGCATCAATCAACATGATCATGTGGTTCTTTTCCTTTTTTTATTTATATGGTGGATTACATTGATTGTTTTTCTAATATTGAACCATCTTGCATCCCTGGTATGGATCCCATTTGATCACGGTGTATTATTTTTTTGATGTGTTGTTGAATTCTGTTGACTAGGATTTTGTTGGATTTTTGCATCTATGTTCATGAGGGATATTGGTCTATAATTTTCTTTTTTAGTGATGTCCTTCCCTGGTTTGGGTATGAGGATTATCTTGTTTCATATGTATTAGGAAGTTTTCCATCCTTTACTTACTTTTGTTTCAATCGTATTCTGAGTAAATAATCAGAGAAGCTGGATTATATGAAAAAGAATGTGGCATCAGGATTGGAGGAAGACTCATTAACAACCTACAATATGCAGATGTTACAACCTTGCTTGCTGAGAGCAAAGAGGACTTAAAATACTGATGAAGAGCAAAGATTGCAGTTTTCAGGATGGATTACAACTCAATGTTAAGAAAACAAAAATCCTCACAACTGGACCAATACACAGCATCATGCTGAACAGAAAAAGATTATTAAAGTTGCCAAGGACTTCATCTTACTTGTATCTACCATCAACACCCATGAGAGCAGCTGCCAAGAAATCAAATGGCATATTGCTGCAAAAGAGCTCTTTAAACTGTTAAAAGCAAAGACGTCAGTTTGAGGACTAATGTGCACCTCATGCATTCAGAAGCTGGATGATGAACCAAAAAATCAGAGAAGAATTGATGCCCTTGAATTATGGTATTAGCAAAGAATATTAAATATTCCATGGGTTGTCTGAAGAGCAAACAATTCTGTCTCAGAAGAAGTCCAGCCAGAATGCTCCTTAGAAGCAAGGATGATGAGACTTCATCTCACATGCTTTGGACATGTTGTCAGGAGTGACCAACCAAGTCCCTGGAGAAGGACATCACACTTGGTAAAGTGGAGGGTCAGTGTCTGCATCAGTGAGCTTAGACAAAGGAATGATTGTGAAGATGGCATAGGACCGGGCAGTATTTCATTCTGATGTGTGTAGGGTAGCCAACTTGGTGGCACCTAACAATAACAACAACATTTTATTTGTTTTTCTCTAATTTTTTGTGTTTTTCTTTTGTTTGGTATGGACAAGTATTATGTTTTAGTAAAGATACAAAACTACGAAGCTGCTCTTTGAGGCTTTAATAGAAATGCTTGGCATTGAAAATGAATTTGGGGAGAAGTGGCGATATCGCAATGTTGTAACTCCCTATCTGGGAGCCTGGGTTGGTTCTCCATCTACACGTGTAGTAGTTTGGGTAGTGTGGGGGTGGCTGCTTCTCTGATCTGTGCCTCCCTCCCCCTTATTCTTGCCAACAGCCCAACACTGAGGGCATCTGGGAGCTGATGACCGGTGGGGTCTTCTACTGCTTGGGCATGGTGTTCTTCAAGAGTGATGGGAGGATCCCCTTCGCCCATGCCATCTGGCATCTGTTTGTGGCATTTGGTGCCGGTACCCACTACTATGCCATCTGGAGATACCTCTATTTGCCCAGCACTCTGCAAGCCAAGGTGTCCAAATGAGGTTGTTCAGACGCCATGGTACATTTGTGCTCTCGGAACAGAACTTCATGGGAAATGTTTCTGGGAACTTTGGTCTAAACCACAGTGCCCGCACCTATCTGTTCTTCCATCGGTGGAACTGTTGATGACTCCAAGGTTACTTCTGGTGACAGTCAGCCAGATTGTCCTCTAGCCCCAGGTGAGAAAGGAGATGTTTAGTCACGTTTACTGAAGAGAAATTAACCCTGTACTTTGTTTCTATTTTAGACAACTGTTTCATAATACAACCAACATTAACATCTTCAGAGAGGAGGGCAGGAAATTGTCTTAGGAAATTGGGCACTGATGGACCAATATTTGGCTCTTGAGGTCCTGAGAAATCTGGTGATGGGTCTGGTTGGTTGTTTAACCTGTCTGGCCATAGTCCTGTTCTCTATTACCAGTGTCCTGGCTGCAAAATTGTTTAGGGAAAGCTACCTAGCTGGTAGATCATGGTTGGAAAATATCTGAGACCATGGCAGACATCACCAATCAAGTGCAGCAAGAACTCTTTTCAGCAAGGCTGGGGGTATCCCAGATACTCTGCTCAGAGGCAGCCATTACCAGTTGATTTGGTCTTTATCTTGGAACCTCATTACTTTTTCTGACCTGGTGGGCTTAGAAGTGGGACCATGACCAGACCACTCATTTCCTGTAAAAATGCCTTCTCTTCCCTCACTCTTTTTTGAGGAAACTCTTGGTGGAGGAGATCAGGACATCCACTCCTAGCAACTCTTGCAGTTCTGCTCCACCCTAGCTGGTCCTCAACACATGGAGAAGTCTGGTTGGGATGGGGAAGCTGCTGCTTGGCCATTTCTTCTCATTCTGAAAAATCCACAAAAATCATGACAGCCCTCTCAGAGTGGGGGCGTGAAGGCCTGTGGGAACATGCTTCCTGGTTCCACAGTTAGTGTGGGCGATGCCAACAGACCCATTCTCTCTCCTGAGTCACTTATGCCGTTCTCACAAGCCCCTTTCAGAAAGAGAGGAGACCTCAGCCCCATTTGAATATGGATCTGAGCAGAGTATCCGGGATACCCCCAGCCTTGAAGTCCCCAGTAAGTCCCACAATGAGGTTCTCCCAGGGCTGTGGGGGTGGGCTGTCCTCCCAACCCCCTTTCCCAGACTGAGCTCAGCCTCTGTGAAATGCCACGTGGACACTCATCGGGTGGGAGTGACAGGCCCAGCTCTGGAATCCAACTTAGATCTCGGATTCTCTGGATAGAGAAAGTCTGTCTTGAGTCTGATGGACCTCCTATGACTCCCTCCCAGAGTTGGGTGGGCGAAGACATGCCTTATGTTTAGCTCTAGTACATTCCAGAAGGAGCCCTGGGAGCAGTAGCGGATTACGAGCTGGGCTGCTAACTGCAAGATCAGAAGTTTGAATCTACCAGCTGCCCCATGGGAGAAAGATGAGACTTTCTGCTCTCATGAAGATTTACAGCCTCGAAACCCTATACAGGGCCACTATGAGTTGGAACTGACTCGGTGACACACAACCATCACCACCACTAGTACATTCCAGGGTATTCTGGCATCCAGAACCCTGTGTCCAATCCAACATAACATTATCTTGACACATTCCTCAGACAGCTGGGCAATGCTCTGGGAATAGGTATGTGTGTGTGTATGTGTGTGTGTGTGTACAGACACTCCAAGCCCCAGAAGTGGCCTGCCTTGGATAAGCCTGCCTCATGGAGCTCACTGAGTATTTCCTACCAGTAGTAGTCACGTGTCAGAGGTCCCAGGGGCTTGATGAGAGGAAGGGAGGAAGGGATACTGGGGGGAGGGGCTCTATTCCAATTGGAACAAGGACACTAACCTCTAGCTGACTGAGTTCCAAGCCAACAGCTGGCCAGTAACTAGGGGGAGAGAGGTCATATTTGAGACCCTCCCCCCAAAGTATACTACTGTGTCAGGCTGCAGTAAAAACCTCACCATTGAAATGCTGAGAGGAATGTGGGGCCTGAGCTGGGTGTTTTTAAGCATTGTGCTGCTAACTGCAAGGTCAGCAGTTCAAACCTACCAGCTGGTCCAGGGAAGAAAGATGAGGCATTTTGCTCCAGTCAAGATTTGCAGCCTTGGAGACCCTCAGGGGCAACTCCCCTCAGTCCTACAGGGTCATTGTGTGTTGGAATTGACACGATGACGGTGGGTGGGTGCTGGGCATTGGAGACTCTGACTTAGGACTTTTTTGTTTTTTAAGTTTTTATTGTGAATTATGTGATAGTTTACATGGGAGAACATTATCTTTGCATTCATCCTATCATATTTCGTTTCATTGCAGTGATTACAATCCCCTGCTCGCATCATCAAACAACCAAAGGGTACACACTGCACGCCTGCCCCCTGGCTGCCAGCACACAGCCCCTCTCCCTCCCTGAGTCTAGAGTCCTTTCCAGCCGCTCCATCTCTTGGTGTGACATAGGACTTCTTTAGTGACATCGTAGCCTCTGCTTGTCTCCCAAGTCTGATATCTGAACCCAACTTCTCCTGGGTATTGGACAGTCTCGCCAACCCTCTGATAGGTCCCAGCTGTGCACAATTGGCCAGGCGTCCACACACCCATCACCTCAGCTTCTCTGATTGCCTAATTGAGGTCTGATGTACTAAGAGTGCAGTTGGTGGTGCTGTTGGTTCATGAGCTCGGCTGCTAACTACAAAGCTCATGGTTTGAGTCTACCCAGAAGCACCTTGGAAGAAAGGCCTGGTGATCTACTTCCCCCTGAGAACCTTATGGAGCAGAGTCCTACTCTGACACACACATGGTCATCGTGAGCCAGAGTTGGCTCAGCATAAATGGTAACTAGCTAGTGGTCCCAAGTTTTAGAGCTCCAGCAGCAAGTCTTGAATCTCATCCTAAGGACTGATGTCTGCCTGAACATTGGAGCTGGAAGGGGTAGGGCAGCAACGCTCCCCATATAAACCAGCAGATGGAGCATGAGAACAGTTGAGAGTCCGGAGATCTACACGGGGCTGAGATCTGGGACTGAGGTTGGTCTGATTCCCAGTCCCATGCATTTTCTGCCCACACCACTTTCTTATCTTTGCAGAGCACTACTGCCCCTATTCTCTACGCCCACCCTGTGAGGTGTTGCCGGCCGCCCCCTTCCCCAAGCCTAGCACCATTGTGGTGCACCATTCCAACAGACCACCGGATGTCTCCCTGATCTAAGCCCTAGTTCTCCATGTACACCGGGCATGGGGGAGCACACAGCTGTCTGTGTGTGGCTCCTTAGTTCCTGTTCCCTACATCTAGGCCTGGGGTGGCATGGAGAAGTCCCCGGGGGTGGAGGTATGGACCAGGAGAGCTGGTTCTACTTCCCACTTGCTGTGTGCCTTTGGACAGACCACATCACCTCTCTGAACTGTCCTCTCGCCAGCTGGGCTGCTGTAATAAAGACCACAAACTTGGTGGCTTTAAAGCAACAGAAATGTATTCTCTCAAAATTCCAGACGCCAGAGACATCCGAGATCATGCTCCCTCTGAAGGCTGCACAGGAGGAACCTTCCTGGTCACTTCCAGCTTCCGGTGGCCATGTGTTCCTTGATTTGTGGCAGCATCGCTCGAGTCTCTGTCTCGTTCTTTATGTGGCATCTTCCCTGTGTGTGTATCTGTCTGTGGCATCATGTGGCATTCTTCTCTGAAACTGTGTCCAAATTTCCTTCATCCTATAAGGACACAGTCCTTGGAGTCTGGGCCCACGTGGATCCAGTAACCTCAGCTTAAACTCGATTGTATCTATAAAGACTTTATGGCTAAACAAGGGCACGTTCACAAATACTGGGAGGTAGACTGTCATCACCAATGAAGGATAATCACATCAGCTCACTGTATGGGGGTTGCTGTCATCTTTACATAATAGCCAAGCCACTGAGAATTGTGGCCTAGCCAAGCAGATACATTTGTTGTTGTTGTTATGTGCCGTGGAGTTGGTTCCGACTCATAGAGATCCTGTATAGGGTTTCTGAGGCTGTAAATCTTTATGGGAGCAGAAAGCCTCATCATTCCCCCGCAGAATGGCTGGTAGTTTCGAACTGCCAACCTTGAGGTTTGCAGCCCTATTCGTAACCACTACGCTACCAGAGCTCCTTAAGCAAACACATTGTGTTGTTGTTGTGAAGTGCCATCGAGTCGGTTCTGACCCATAGCCTCCTGTATAGGGTTTCCAAGGAGCTGCTGGTGAGCTTGAACCACTGACCTTGCAATACAAACAGCTTTGCAGTCTGGCGCATTAATCCACAGCGCCACACTAGGACTCCAAGCAGACACATTTAGAAGGGACAAAATTTGATCTGTGATACCTGTCCATGTTGGAGAATCTCAGGAAGGCCCAGGAATTAGAGACACACAGGAATGTCTCAACAGCTGCACAGAAAACCAGTAGTCTAATCAGCCAATGTCAGCAGATGTCAGTCCATGTCCCCCTCACTGTGGACAACATAGTGTCTGAGCTGGTGTCTGGGCTGGCTTCATTTGGCATAGGGGAGGTCTCCTGGGAGAAGAGAGGGTGTGGACACAGAGCCTCCCAAGATCGATTCTGAGACCCTTGATCTATACATAGACACAATGTAGGGAAAACAACACCCAAAGAATCCCAAACATGCAAAAAAAAAAAAAAAAACCCCACCAGGGGTCACCTGGAGGCATGCTCTTCAATATGGTAGCCACATTGTGAAAGTCTCTGGGTTAAGCACTTGACTAGAAGCTGATCAGTGGGCGAACTAGAGGTAGGTCAGAAGAAAGGCCTGGCAATCTCCCAAAGGTGTCAACCTTGAAAACCTTAGGGGAACACAGTTCTACTCTGCACACATGGGGTCATCGTAAGTCAGTAATTAACAACAAGAACAAGCTATGTGTGGCTATTTTAATTGAAGCCAATTAACATGACAGATAAAAGCTCAGCTCCTCAGTCTCATGTGGTGCATTTGAAGCGCTCAATACAACAAATGGCAGTTGTTATTGTTAAGTTAGTTCTGACTCATAGTGACCCTGTAGAGGGTTTCCG